CACTGGGGCTCGGGGTGTTCCCGGGGCTCTGCCTGCTGCCCCGGCCAGGCTGGCTCTGCGCTGCCACTGCACAGTGTAAACAGCCTAAAAATAGCGATGGTATGTTTCTGGCCATCAGCTGCAGTCATTTTGGATGGGCTTTGTGTATCTCTTTCCCTCCAAATGGCTATATTTTTAATATCCGGCCTGTTTTTGGTTTTGGTTTTTTTTTCCTGGTGTTACATGGTTCTCGCAGAGCAGCTCCTGTGCACCCTGGCCCTCCTGAGTCTAAACCTGGGGGGTTACAGAGCAGCCCAGGTCCTGCACACGCACAAAACTCGAAGCTTGAACGTTTTACACAGAACTATTTGCTCGGTTTTAGCTTCTACAAAACCACCTGGAAACAAGCAACCCTTAGGGTTGCTCTTACTTGCTGTGGCTTTTAAGCAATGTTGTGAATAACAAAACGGTCCCTGGGTGTTAGGGCTGGTGGAGCACAATTTCTGAAAGGTCTGTGTCCCTCCGGCTCCACTGGGCTCTGGTGTGCTGCAGGTTTGAAGGTTTTCCTACTGCAGGGCGATTGTGAGGTCCCTGCTTCGCTCCTTGGGTCCAAACCATCTCCCCAGTGCAACTTTGCCCTCTGAGGGGATGCTCCTGGCCCTTTCTCTTCTGCTTCTACAGGGCCAAAGGAAGAAAATTATCTTTGAGTTTTGTTTTTTTTTTCCCCCCCAGTCGGCTCAGGATGCAGTTAGCCCCAACTCTATTTTTCTTTAATACGGAGTTTTGTCCAGAAGCTAATGGAGAAGTTGAAGGAGGTGGCTGGAGAGCATGGTGACGTGAAAATTTTCTCTCTGAAAGCAGGCTTAAGTCAGCAGCACGCTCCTGTTGTAATGAGAGTAAATAACGTGTGAGGGCCAGTAGTGTCACCCGAGCAGCCAAATTTGCTTCCAGGGGGACTTTCCTCCAGCGTCTGGTGGAAAAGTGGCCGTTTTAATAAGCACCTGCCATCAGAGCAGTGTGTTTATCGGGAAGGCAGCAGATGTAGGACTAGTTGATGGCTTGGGCGACCAGGCGGGCATCGTGCTAGCCTCAGGACGCGTCTCCTGCCAGTGTCAGGGTGGAGGTGGCCTCGCTGGCCCGGCAGCAGCTCCGAGGTGGCGGAGGGGCCCCACCAGTGTGTCACCAGAGGGGCAGATGGGTGCCAGGCTGGGGCAGTCCCACCTGGAGGGTTTTGGCCGTCTCCAGCGGAGGGCACTTGCGCTGTCGCTGCGCACCCTGGAGGAGGGGATGAATTTGTGCCCGGCTCTGCGTTGGCAGCCCCTCGCTGGGTGTAGGTTCTGCCCTCACGTGTGCGCTCAGTGGGAGTGATGTGTGAGCACTCTTGGTGACGTCGAGGTTGGTGATCTTCAAACTGATCTGCTCTCTAGGGCCAGCTTGCAGGATTAGGACCTAATAGCTTTAACACCCCCGTGAGCCCCTTTGTCACCCGGCACCGGGTGCTGATGCCATACATGGCCGGGGAGTCTCATTTATCCCTGGTACCAGAAAGAAGAACCCTTCTGGAAAAGAACCACCCAAAACCTGTTATCGCAGGAATGGTTTTAAAAAGCGTGGGGATTTTATTAAAAAGTTGTAATACAGGGATTTTTTTTTAAAAAAAAGTTGTAATATGGAAACAACCAGCATGTAACTTTCTCTGTATCCTTCTTTTCTCCCTTCAGCTGGAGGTTGGCAGTGATGAAGAGCGTAAATTAAATGTGAGGTAAGCAGAGCTATTTGGCTCTAAACGTCGTTTCCATCGTTGTTAATTGTCTGCTGCGTATCTGAGTCCTGATCCTGCACAGGACTCTGGCCTGGAGTGTGTGTGCTTGCCCGGAGGGGGTTGCATGGTCTGCAGGGAGCTGAACACTGGGGCTGCTCTCTCCCTTATCAGTTCAGTTTTGAGATGAGTGCTTAATGAACTTAAAACATACAAGAGGGTTTGTGGTGGGGTTTTTTTGTTTGTTGGTTGGTTTTTTTTTTTTTCCTGGTGGGAAGAAACTGGAAAATTGCTCATTAGCTCTGGGCACAGCACTCAACTGTTATCGCAGCATCTCTGCCTGCTGCTGCTCTCTGAGGTTGGGGCTCTGGGTCGGGAGGGGAGAGCTCTGTTTATTCCTGGGTATTAACCATCAGGAATTCGACTCCTTTGGTGTGGGGTTGTTGTAGAGCCCCTTTTTGTGCAGGAGGGGGGAAAAGGCTGAGATATCCTGCTGGAGAAGAGAAAGGCTTCTCTCACTGACGTTGTGCAGGGATCAGAAGTATAATGGTAAATCTGTGGGTCCCTGGCCTCGTGGGGCTCTGAGTAACGGTGTGGATCGTTCACTCTAAACCTGTTGCAGCCAGCTCTTACCCTCTTAACCACAGTCCGAGAGATAAAGGGTAAAAAACACAACAGTGATTCAGCAAGCTTGGTCTCTACTTGTTAGTACTTCCTACTTTAATTATCCTGGTTTCAGGTAAAAGCAAAGCCACTTGTGGTGCTGCTTAAGTTCAGTCTTGTTGTTTCCATCCCATTTTATGCTTTGAGACCTACTGCTGCAGAGGTACAAAACCGAGACACGGGGGCAGTGGGTTTTCTGTTGCACTTTGAAGGACTGAAACGGGGACAGAGTGGAATTGTTGATTTGAAGTCTGGTTAACCTTGTGGTTTTGGGAGCAGCAAGTGGATGTTGGGGTATAGACGGCCTTTACCCTGCAAGTGAAAGAGCAGAAAAGCAAAATTGCTCCTTTACGGAGTTGGACAGTGCCAGCCTTGCTGTTTCTGTGTCCTGAGGGATTTGTCGTGGCTGCAGCCTGTCTGGCGTTTGGCGGCTGTCCTCCTCGCAAGCCCGTGGGCCAGAAGTGGTGTACGTTTGGTTACTGTGTGGTCTCCTGCATTTAATGACAGTCTGTAATGTCGTTCGTTAGCTTATTTTCTGGAGAATGCGTTTTGTATCGGGTAAAGCAAAATTGAGGATTCCTGGTTCTGCTCCCAGCTTGCTTGTGGGCTTACGGTGCAGTTGAGGGCTCGAGCAGGAGCCTGCTGAAGTCATGAACAGCAACACATCCTTAACTCTTGTGCTTTTCCCCATGTTGTATTAATTAGTAACACTTCAGCAGTATGATAATCTCTTCTTTCATGTATTTGGGTCTTGTGCTGAAAGAGGGAATACTTCATCCCTTTTCATTACAAATCGACTCGTGACAATGTACAGATGAATCGCTGGGAGGTGGCTGGTTTTGTGGCCACCTTTGCTCTCTCTGGCCTTTTTTGCAAGCCAGGCGTGTGCATCCGTCACCGAGCAGAGCAACCGTGGCGGGGGGTGGAGAGAGACTGGCCTCAAAGGCTGGTGCGTTTCTGCTGGCTTTCGAAAAAACGCTGCAGCACTGATTTCGGATCGTGAGATCCCAAGGGCTTCCTCTGTCCTTCCATCCCTTGGGGCTGCTCTTCTGTATCCAGTTTTCAGGATAAGAATCTGGTAATTAAATGGCGAGATAGACCTCGAGAATAGGACGGCTCTAGTGCAGAGCCTTTGCTGTGCTCGGGGGGTGGGAATGGGACTGGAGGAGACGTGTGGCCCTAGTGTGGACACGGCGTACGTGATAAATGAAGCTCCTCTCACGGGGAGGTCGGTGGGTAGGTCCCGTCCCCTTCCTGCCCACAGCTGCTCCAGATCAATTCGCTGAGACTTTATCCAGTGCCCATGGGGTGGCAGAATTGTTCAACTTCATTGCACTGCTTCTCCCAACAGCTGAGTTCAGGTCTCCCCTGGAAAAAAATGAAGGAACGGCCTGTGATGATATTTATGAATCTTTAAATCCTGGTCTAGCCTTGGTGGAGACTGAGGTGAGAGCTGGGCTTTGTCACGCGTGCCCTGAGCGCAGGGGTCGGCAGCCCGGTGCCTGGCTTTGCAGACCTCGAAGATCCTGACAGAAGGAGGAAAGGCTGTTGGGAACGAGACCCCGTCTTGCTGCCAGCTCAAACTGCGTTTCATCAATACAGGATGGATGTGCTGTTACACGTTTATGGCATAGCGTATTCGTCCACTTGATGAGCAGATTATTTTCATTCCAAAAAATTCCCAGATTTTCATTTGAGGCAGCATAGTTGGATCTGGTTATATGAGCTGTCTGATTTTTTATTTTTTTTTTTCCTGAAGGGACAGTTCTGTTTTATGGTTTTATAACCAGCCATGAGTCTTGCTGCTCTCTGGTATAAGAGCACCAGACTTTCCTTATGGTTTCTGTCATTCCAAAATGCTTTTCTTTCTGTTTTGTCCCCGAAACAGCCTCGACCCTAAAATAAACCAAGGGGACATGTTCTAGGTTCAGCTTTTCTCTCAAAGGTATTTTGTTGCCATCTGCTTTTTCTTAGACATGAATGTGCTTTAAAGTCCATTTTGCTCCCCAGTGAGTAAAGATTTGTATCAGAAGAAAAAGTAAGAGCACAGACTCAGATCTAACGGCCCAGTTGGGCTCAGTGCAGCTGGTGCAGGCAAGAGCTTGCATGTCTGATCCTCTGTTATCTGTGTCTGCCGAAATCTTCCTTCCCAAATGCTGATCAGCCACGGGGTGTTGTGGCTTGATCCCTTTTTTCCCCGCTAATGATGCAGCGCACCCACAGAACCTTGAGACATCTCACCCAAATCTTAATAAAACTGCTGGCACGGTTACGCCGGGTCCATGGGAGCGTGCGTTAGCTTAGAGTT